TATCAGCGAATAACACCATGATGTCTCAAGTGCATCTCAATAAAGCGTGGAACAAATATATTCCTCTTAAAGTTTAATTTTTTGCGTGGAAAATCTTACAGAATAGGATCCTAACGAAGGACAATCTTCATAGGAGAGGTATTAAATGCAGGCTTGGTCAGATGTGGGGAAGGTTGAAATTCAATAGAATCATCGACACGTCTATTTTTCGACTGTAGTGTGGCTTCTCAGGTTTGGTATGTAATTTTTAAGTGGCTTGGGGTTCTAACTGTCTCACATCACAATGTCGTCTACAATTTTTCTGCATTCTGTGGTTTGTTATAGGTTAAGAAAAAGCAAGAAATTGATGTCCAAACTATTTGATTTTCCTCCCTGTGGAGCATCTGGAGGGTCAGAAATGAGAAGATTTTTCAGAGTAAAACAGTTCATGCAGCAGACATTGTGGATAAAATCAAGATTCTCTCGTGGCATTGGCTGAAAATTAAGGCTAAGAATTTTAATCAGCCTCTCTGCATTTGGCTTTGATTCACATTTTACTGCTTGAAAGAGTTGAACCCTTGAGGACTATGCATATTCGATAATTATTGGTGATGCGGAATTTTCGTCTGGCGTGGAGACTATTTTTGCTCAAGGATTATGTTGCAGACCTTGTTTTCATTATGTTTTGGGAGTGTATATGATTGGTGCTTTTGATCACGTGTTCTAGTTTTATTCTATTATGCAGGTCATACACAGTGTAGTAATTCAGTATAGGAGACATGACTTATGTAGTCCATATGCAGACCATTTTTAGTTTTGTTAGTATGATTTCTCTGCTTGGATTTGACACTATATTATTTTTATTCATTCTTGCATCTCTTATGCAGAGAATGTTTAATATATATTTTCTTTTGGCTGCAACAAAAAATATTATAAATCGTGAAAAGTATTTATGGTCAATGTACATTGTTCTAGTGGTAAAGGCATAGGATGAACCTTTAAAGTCCATGGGCTCGATTCCTTCTAGCAACAATTTTTAACTTTTTTTTTATATTTCAAATTTTAATTGTTTAAAAATAAAATTTGTAACACTCTAATTTCCCCGAAGAATAATAATGTAAAACAAGAGTAATTTTTTCTATAAAATAAACCAATTAACAAACAATTAGGGTGCTACACTTTAAAACATAATAAACATGCTCCAAACATATACATAGATACATAACACAAATGTGGATGAACCGAATAACCACTCATGGTCTTCAACTTTACTTTTATTAAGCAACAAAAAAGAATCACATTTCATATAAATTAATCCCCATCTAGTATAAACGGACATTTATTCAAAAACTAAGGAGTTCATAGGACTCCAAATAAATCAACAAAACAAATAAGCATTCATTCCCCCCGATATTACGTATCAGAGCAGCAACACCAATTCAAATAAAATAAAGAGCAACCTCTTTTGATCCTTGCAGCCTCAGACTACTCCTGACTATCTGTGCGATATCGTATAAAGCATCATTTCAACATAAAGATGGTATGTCACAACAATATAAGAGAATGCACAATAATAAGTATACAACGATTAAATCACGCATAGCCACACATTTCACATCTTACACCTTCACATGACGACAACAATCTTATTACATATTAATTACACAAACATGCATGATCATCAGCATATGGCATTGAGTTATCATGTATTACCTACACAAATCACACAATTCAAACATCAAGTTAATGAAAATGCAATGCAATAACACCGACTTAAAGACTCAATGCATGTGGTACCAATATCACTCCCGAATCCATGCCATCTAGGACAAGAGCCACCAATATCGTGAACAATTTGATTCATCTTGCTCCTGATCCATGCCATCTAGGATCAGAGCCAACCAACATCATGAACAATGGGGTTCATGTCACTCTCGATCCAGGCCATCTGGGATCGGAGCCCATAAACATGACTAAAATCCACAACATGTAATGCATGTGACACAACCATGCAACAAAACAACACACATTGATATCTACATACATCAATATGACACACCATTAAGGCCACCAGCTATTCATACATACAACATATAATTCATACAACTCAATAATATTATATATCATCATTATAACAACACCAAGTTGTCATAATACATATTTCATAATAAATTTCTCACACAACATCCAACTTATCATGTTATACGTACTAAAACAAACATCATTTTAATCATTTGATTCCCACAAAATATAGTTCATCGTGTTATCTTTTCAATGCTTCAAACGACGCGTCAAACAGAGTCCAGAAACTCAAACTACGACCCTTTAAAGTTTTCAAAATAGTTATATCGCCTAAAGCTCGCCCAAAGAAGTAGAGCCTTGGCCTGAGGCTCGCTCGACGAAGCAAGAGCGACTAGCCTCGCTTCTCGCTCGCCTAGCGAAGTAGAGGCATTTCGCTTATTTTCCAAGAGCATTAATTTTCCCAAGTTCCCTCGCCCAGAGTCTCGCCTGGCGACGTTTGGACGGAACCGCTTCGCCCGACGACGCTTATCTCGCCCGGCGACGCGTGCAAAACAACAACTTCCTTTTGCGTTTTCTGCACCAGACCAGTCTCAATTCTCATACGGTTTCAACACAGTACAGTCCCAAAACTCACCAAATTCCACATGTTTTCACAATATAGCAACAACACATCAATGATAGGCATTATACACATCACATCATGGCAAAAGAACATCGCATATTTCATCATTTTTTATCACAAAACCCAAAATAAACTTACATACATCTAAACCTCTATCAATGATGATAAACAAATTAAACCCTACATATCCATCATTATATAATATCCTTAGAGAGTTGGAACCCCACTCTTACCTTAAATTGATGGTTCCCAGGTTTCAACAATGAAGTCTTCTTGACCTAGTTCTTTCTCACCTCCTTGCTTTCTCTTCTCTCCAAAATACGATCATACATAATGATCACTCTCAACCTCACTTTTTTCTTATGTCATTCTTACCCCTTGGTCCCTTATTAGGTTGTTCCACTCTCGCCCTCACTTATTCCACACAATATTATGCTTATGTCCTTGGTACCTCTACACCAAATATTATCCCTATTTAATTATTAAAGTAAATTTAAATAATTGTAACTAATTATCCAATTTATTAATAATTTTAAGTATCTTACTAATCCAACACTACATCACAACATGCCATCAAACCATCTATTGCATCAAATAAATCGCAACAACATACTTAAATAGTAAATATAATATTTGGGGTGTCCTATTTTAAATATCAATTAAGGAGTAAAAATATACTTAAATATCAATTAAGGAGTAAAAATATAAGCAATTTACATATCTAAGAAAAAATTACACACTTATCATATTTTCAATGAAAAATAATAAAAATCATATCTAAAAAATTGTACATAAATTTTGCCCTTTTAAATTTATACATATACATTACTTTATGAATTATTTATGAGAAAAAAACCATCTAAAATTATGATTTTTTATCTTTTACTTATTACAACTAAAACACAAAATTTAACATGAATTTGTTTCAATTTAAATAAAAAAAGTATTATGTATATATTCTTCATAAAAAATATTATATATATATATATATATATATATATATATATATATATATATATATATATATATATATATATATATATATATATATATATATATATATATATATATATATATATATATATATATATATATATATATATATATATATATATATATATATATATATATATATATATATATATATATATATATATATATATATATATATATATATATATATATATATATATATATATATATATATATATAATATATTTTAATAGGTTTTCATAAAAAATATTCTTCTAAATATACTATAATATTTTAATAGGTTTTCATAAAAAGTATTCTTCTAAATATATTTATAAAAATATGTAATTTATTGTGTTAAATTTTATATTGAATATTTAAGTTATCAAATATCAAAAACAATTTGTTAATTTAAAACAAAAATTAATTAATTTATACAATTTTTAAATAAATCTTTATAAAATTAAATTATAAAAATAAATTTGAAATTATTATTTTTATATATTTAACAAACATGTTTTAAACAATCATAATTTTTAGATGATTTAAGAGCAGATTTTGAAAAAAATAAATTATATTTATCATTTTTATAGATTCGTCTCTTTTTAATACGTTTTAGTGATGTCTCTCTATCTTTTTTTATTTATATTTTTATGTATGGAATCTTTATTAAAAAAGATTTAAATAGATTAATCACATTTAAATTATATCAAAATAAATTAATAAAATATCATTATAATTGAATTCTAATTGATATGTTATGAGTTTCTATTTAAATAATTGAACAGTAAACTTTTTGAAGTATATACAATAGTTCAACTTTAAAGACGACTATGCAAATAATATTGTATTCTATCATTCTATGTTAAAAAATTTAAGTAAAAATATCATTTATTAAACCATGTGTATTTTACTTTATTTATTTTGCTTGACCACTACCGTAGCGGAAGAAACTAGGGTAGGTAGTATTTATTATTTATCTATAAAAATTTAAGTATTTGAAAATTTATGTTAGTACTTCTCTAATCAAATTTAACTTGTCTAATTTCAAAGACACGTTAATCTTTTGCTAACACAATTTTCACTACATTTGTTTGGTATTTAATACATATGATGAGTCATCACATCACAATTTATTGCAATTTTTTTATATCATTAAATACACAATGTTGTTATTATGTCACTAACTATTTGAATTCTTGGGACCTACTAGACGCTTTCCTTCACATATATCCATAAGCCTTTTAGTTCCCATCAACCAAATTGAAGAATCACTCGGCAATAAATCATATTGGTTGCAATTTGAAGAGTCACACAGAATAAATCAAATTGGCTGCAATTTCCATAATTCCTTGAGTTTTTTCGACTCAACACTTTTTGAAGTATTACATATACTCATTCTGTCATGTTCAATTCCATAAAAAGTTTAATCATTTCAACTGTTAGAGAGAAAAATGTGAGACTGAATATGGAATGCATCTTCGACATGTTTTGTTCTCTCTTTCGGAATCGTCTTCTCTCTTTTATATTTGCAAAATCTTTCCTCTATGTGCTTAAGTTTTGTTTGTTTTGTTTACAGATTAAAAAAATTCATCCATGACTCGCCCTATTGAATCTGTCAAAGACATCAAATATTCCAAGGATTTATAGAAGACTGTTGTTAGATGTAAGCATATGTGGAATGTTACCAATACTACAAATAAAGAATACATTGTATCTGTTTGTCTTATTGCTTCGAAGAGTTTCATGTTTTCTAACTTTTAGCAGAAGGTTGTTTTTATTCTGATTTTATCCTAACAAATGTGTTATGATAGAAACCACTTCAGGTTGTTTGATTGCAAGCACTAATAGAGGTTGTAAAGGCGCTATTTATGTTTCCAATGGTGCTTCCGTCGTTGTTCTCTGTGATGGCATAACTAGAACTCCCATTGTTAGATTCAGATCAGCCAAAAGAGATTCTTAATTAAAGTTATATTTCAAAGATCCTCAAATTTTCAATTCTCCCCTTACACTTTAAACAGATAATACTCTACTATCTATTATTAGTTACTCCTATAATTTTGTATAATATTCTGCGTACCTATAAAAATCTACAGTTTTCTTACTGCAATTTTGTTCAATATTTTGTTCAAATTTTCTTAATTAGCAAAAGTAATACTTTGATTTTCAAAAATATCATTTTTGTTACTTTAGTGATGTGTTAACATAGTGATTTGTCTGTGCAGGTATGATAAGCTATGTTTTCATGCTACCTTGCCCTTGGTATGAGAAGTTATGTGGATTACAAGTCTGATTTTTATAATTTCCTTCAGCTTACTGTAGTAACATTGTGTTGGCGCAATTGCGTGCCGACTTGAGAAGAAGGAAGGTAGAAGCGATGTTCAGGTTTATATCATGACTTTAGGTGGATGGGCTGCCATACTATTTTACTAAAGCATAAATGAGAGAAGTTTTTTTTAGCATTTGATAATTTCCTAACATGATATAAAGTGTCTTTGACTTTTTTTATTCAAATTGATTTTTTTGGTAACCTCTTTAGGATCCAGCAATAACATACATTGCTTATGCGTATCTTAATGGCCTTAAAATGAGAGATAAAACATTGACTATAAGACGTGCTACTGTTAGGTTAGCTTTCCTTCTGAAATAGTTTGATTACTTGGAGTTTAGTGTAATTTTATCATTAAAGTATTCATAATTATTTGTTAGTTAATATGAATAGTGACCTGCTAGTTAATATGTGTAGTGATCTGCTACAAAGAGACTGAAAATTGACCATGTTATCTTATTGTCTGACTACTTATCTTCTACAAGATATTCTCAATTTGTCTGCATGAATTAAGTTTTAGTTCATGAAGCAATCTACATGGAGCAATCCACATATTCAGATGAAGCTATGACAGTTCATGAGTTTCTAGATTTCAAGCCGAAGAATGGGATACTTTGGTTCTGAACTATTTTAACTTCAAAACTTCTTCCTCTGACATGCCTTTTTTCATTCATATTTACTTTCTTGAAAATTCAAATTTAATTTAAGATGTATTCTGTTGGCTTATAATTTTGTCAAAATAACCTTTTTTTTCTGCTTCACAATGTTCCTGTGCTCAATGAAAAATACGAAGATCACATAATGTTTGTTTGTGTTGATGGCAAGCACTAATAGAGGTGGTAAAGCTATTTATATTTGACACGTCCAATTGAAGATGTTATGGATTCAATTTGTTTATCACCTGCTAACATGGCTCGGATCCAACAATATGTTTCCTATTTGTTTATATATTTTTGTCTTTTGAATCAATGTTAACTCTTTAATTAATTTACTATTTCTTTGATAAATCATTTGATTCCTTTATTATCTCCCTTCTTTCTCGCAATGATACAACTTGAATCCAACGACATATTTCCTATTTGTGTATGTTGTTCCTTTCACTATAGTTTCATCTTTTAGACTGTTGCTCATGAATATTTTACAAAAAAATATAAGTGTTATTCATTATTCCAACAAATATGATGTATATCACACTCCACCATCATTTTTTAGATTCAAATTATATTTATCTTTCATCCTATTGTATTAATACTTTGCTATCGTGTTACGACTGTTATAGAAGGAGGCACCAAAGCGGTTGGGTTGTGGAGTTAAAGGGATTTTGGAAATTATAGGGCACAAGTGGTTCAAACCGATCAATTGGAAGAAGTTAGATGCACGTGAAATCAAACCCAACTTTAGGCCAGAAGTAGTTGGGAAGTATTGTGTTGCAAACTTTGATAAGTGCTGGATTGATATGTCTGTTGTTGATTCCTCAGCTGCAAGCCCAAATGATGGAAACCCCTTCAAGGACTTCTCTTATGTCAGACCTGCAACCTCTTTTCTTCAAAATAATAGCCCTGCTTGCTAAACTCCACTCCTTGCATTGGCTTAGGATAACACTATTTTTCTTATAAGTACTGAAAAAGGAATTGCCATAAAGAATTGTTTTTCTCTGTCTTTTTATTTGTAGCTATTTGAACTTTGTAGTATGTGCTTGTGGCTTTACGATTGTTGAGTCGACTTTGCGAAAACCTGTGATTTGGAGAAAAAATTGTATTATTTATGCTCTGTTAAACAAATTTTCAAAGCATTATCTGTTAGAGACAAAATGCTTAGGTTGTCTTAATTTGCCAGATTCAAAAGAACTAAAGTATATGTTATATATTAGTTTCAAACTTATATAGCATAAGCTAGCAGCTCCTTTGTATTTTTTCTAATCTTTATCTTACAAACACACAACACAAGATATAATTTGATATGTGTCTTCATTCAATTATGTTGATATAATTTTTCATAAATAATAAAACTCTACTATTCATACAATTATATTTTCAAAAGGGAATAATTTATAAATATTTTTATAAACGTGAAAAGTATACTGTTGAGAATCAAGTGTGAAGAATAAGTCTCACATTGATTAGAAAAAGGAAAATGAACAATTTATAAGTGAGAACTCAGAAACCTATTATCTTAAGATTTTAAATGGATATATGGTGTCTCTCACAAAAGGTGTGTCCCAAATAAAAATGCTCCGTCGAAATTGCTCATAAGAGTGGTATCATGAGAATTGTTGGTCAAAATAAAAGAGAGATAAAGAGAGTATGAAGGTGAGACAAGAAAAGAAATAAGAATGGTTACGAGAAATTTAAGCAAATGTTGAATCATAGTCATTCTTATTTTTTTTACAATTTATTTTCATGTTTCTCCTTCATGCTCTCTTTATCTCTCTTTTATTTTGATCAACAGATACAATTTTTTTTTATAATCGAAAATAACTTAAAAATATTTTTATAAACAACACAAATATATTGTTGATACAATTTTTTTTATAAACGAGAATAAGTTACAAATGTTATTTTCAATTAAAAAGTCTACTATAGATAACGTGTAATATCAATGTCATAGCAGGTGAATGTAAACGTATCTATGCGATGTTAGCTGTACACTATTCATTTTAATGACCATCTCTAAATATTTTTTTCCGCTGCTGTTTATATAATTGAAGTTAAAGAATTGACTCTACGGTTTATCATAATTACGAAACAATGTTTAAAATTTAATACATATTATTAGTTTATATTTGTAACTATGTGAATGTCAATCAATTGAATAAATTCATATTTTATAAGTAATAGTCTGATAAATATGTAATGTGAATTTAAACGAGACTCGTGCGATAATACGAAATTCTTATTTCTAGTTTGAATTTAATGAAAGAAAAAAAAAATCTTTTTACCAAACTTTACTATAAACTGTTACTGTTTATTTATTTCTTATCAAAATATATTTTAACAACTTTATCTTCAAGATGTATTGTGATTTATTTTTTAAATAACTAAAATTTTCACTTTTTAATATCAAATTAATCAATATTTTATCATAATTTTCAAATTAACCATATTTGAAACAAAAAAAAATTATTAAAAAAGAGACGGTAATTTATGTTATTTTTTTTAATAAAAATTAGTTAATACAAATTTGTTATTATTTATAAATTTACTCACAAATTTATCTATAAAATTTTTAATATTTTGTGTGTCACAAAACCCGTAAATAAATCTGTGAGAAAATTCATAAATAAAAATAAAATGTAATTTACAATTATCCACACGTAATTGAAATAAAATAGAAAAAAAACATATAAGAGAGAGTAATTCAAGATTAATTCAAGTGACACTTTATTTTTAATTTTTTTATTTTATTTGAGACATGGTTAACTTGAAAATTATGATAAAAAATTAATAAAATCAGTACTTCTAAATAAACGTGTTTATAATTTTGAAGAATTAACATAGTACTATAATTACCCCCACGTGTACTTATAGATAGAAATTCGACGTGACATTGATATTTTTTATTGCATATCTGAATGGATAGTGACAACAATGATGAATGATGTAGAAAAGGTGACAATTCAATTCAATAAATGACAAGTTGTGGCAGAGACTTTATTGCTTTTGAGCTCATCTTTGTGTTATCTTTCTTACTTGTGTTGTGTTGTGTTTTTTTCTTTCTCAGTGGCTCCTCCACGTTGTTTTCGACAGTTTTTGACCTTCCCTCCATTGTATTTGTCCTCACATGAATAATATTTGTAGGTGGACAAAATTGAAGAGTCCACTCAATTAGACAGATCCATTATCTTTTTGTGAAAATAGATTGGGTTATATAGTTTGTAATTTAAATTATAATAGTAAACAAATTAGTATAAATGATAGTGAAAAGATTACAGTAATAATAATATTTTCATCAATAATAAAAGAAAATAATTTTCTTTAAATTATTTTAAAATTTTAATAGTTTTTTTTTTAAAATCTAAAAAATAAATATGTGCATTTTATAAAAAAGTTATTTTATGAATTGAGTCCAATAAATATTAAATCGATTAAAATTATTCGATTTATCTGTCAAACTAATTTAATCAAATCTGTTAAAAATAAAATTTTATTAAATTAAAATTGAACCTTTAAAATAAGATTGTGATTTAGTTCGAATTTAAGTTTTTAATTTGATATCGACCCAAATTCACCTCTAAATAATTGTTAAGGTGGGTCGTTCTATACGCGCACGATTCACACAGAATACCATCAAATTAGGAGGTATCCAATGGGTCATATTACTCAAATGAGCCATATCACTAAAATATAAAATTATACATGCAGGATTCATAGGGACCCTATGATACCATCAAATCAATGAGTCATATTACTCAAATAAGTCATATAACTTAAATGTAAAACTACAAATCGATAGCTACAACAACACAATTCTATCATAATTCTATCATATTAGTATAAAATGGATCTTTCGAGGTTGTCAAATTTGTTTATTTAGTTTAAAGATTTTTTTAAACAGGATATAAAAGAATGAGAAAAACAAAGAGATTATCGATTGATTGACACTTAAGACAAATAAAATAAATGATTTTTTTGTTAAACTCAAATTATAATTGTAATGAGTAATTTCTTTAATGAAAGACCATCTCTAAATCGTAAATTTCACGTTTCAAACCACATCTAAAACGTTTAAACCATCATTTCTAAAGATGTTGTCATTCCTGATAATCCACAAATTATAGCTAACTGCCAACTGTAATGCCCGTTAATTTAATTAATTATTTAATTAAATATTTTTGAATCATTCATTGAAGTTATGAGATGTTGGAAATTGTTGGCATAAATTACTAGATTATTATTAGTTAATTAATTAGTTAATTAATTAGTTGATTAATAATAGTAATAATACTAGAATTAATAGAATAATAGAATAATTATGTTGGACCTATTTTTAATGGTTAGAAGTAGAGATATGGGGGTGGTTGTTAAGTCCACTAAGAATAATATTGCGAGGTTCTATTTAAATAAAGAATAGGGTTAGTTGAGAAGTTGTTGGAAAATTGGTCGTGAGAAGTTGCAGAGAAGAGGAATAAGGAGATGAGGCAAAATAACGTTTTCGACCGAAGAGTTATAGAGCAACCTTCAATCCAAGGAAAGAGTGGGTTCTGGCTCTATAATGGGGCTTATGACGAACATTATGTAGGGATTGGTTGTGGGTATAACTGTTTTGCGTTTGATTTTCTGGATCTGTACTTGAAATTTGTCGCTTTTCATGTTGTGGTCGTTTAGGAATTTTCTGCATAATTGTCCTGTACAATGGATGAATCTGTTAAACGGAATACCACATATTGATATAGTTGTTATGTTATTTCGTGCGGTTGGTCAGAAATTAGTAGTCGAAGAGGATACTGAAAGACTAGGTTGACGTTCCTCATAGACTGGATGAAGTATGTGCAAAAGTGTTTAAAAGACGCCGCACCGAGGAGCTTAGGTGCTAGGTGTCGAGCGGCAAAAGGCTGCAAGGTGTGTCGAGGAGCCAGGTACTTGTGTTGAGCGACACAAGACTGCACGATGTGCCGAGGGGCATGGTGTGTGTCGGCCGGTACAGGGGCATAAGGGAAAGGTGCTGAGCGGCATGGCCACTGTGTCGAGGAGCACAAGTCTTTATTAATTTCTCTTCTGTTGTTCCTGTGCACGTTGAATGGGACATACTCCTTTCTCACCCCTTAACGCTCCTGTGTAAGTTAATTGGTCCATCATTTTCGTTAACATCCACAGTATAATAATTAGAGTTCTTAAGGTATTCTATCCCTAAATAATTAATAGATTACTGGTAAATATAAGTTAGTAGTAGGAGATATAATATAATTAATAAGTGACTAGCACTAAAAGGTGTGGAATCGGAGATAATAGTATAAAATCGAAAACATTAGTATTTTAACAGAAAATAACTTAGTCGAATATAGTCGAATTGCCTGAATGATTACGCAGGATGTTATAATATATTTTGGTTGATACAGTGTATTGTATACTTTGTTATGATTTGAGAATTTGCAGGTGATGATGAATTTTGTTGAGATGCCTCTAATTATCGGCAGGTATTATGTTGTAGGCTTATGACCAATGTCGAATTGTGTTGAGTTGTTGTTGAATTATTGTTATTGTTGTTACTACATTCATACTGTTGTCACATACATAACATATCAAGTTGGGAGCTCATGCTCGGTAAGTTAGCCTGGATTGACAAATATAAAGTTAAAGGCTTACGCTTTGTTAATACCTCTATTAATTGGAAGATTATTAATTTGAGAGTTTTTCTATGTTGGTACCACATGCATGTGCATACAAACAAGTCACATTTCATGTTGCATCCTGAGTTGTTGTGTGGGTGAATTGATTATGTTAAATATTGTTAAAGAGCTGCGAAGTGGTGATTTTTTATGAACTAATTTTAATATATTATTTATCATGCGTTCTATTATATTGTTCGATATTGCACCCCTTCTGTTTGAATATTACTCCTATGTTGGTAACG